TTCAAGTCCCTTGGTCATTGTCATTTCACCTCTTTTGTCGATTGTTGAAGACCAAGTTAAATACCTCAGATCATTGGGAATTGATGCTGCTTTCATTGGGGAAAATAAAACTAAAGACCAAGAAATATTGGATGGAAAGGGCGGGTTTGCTTTATTGTATGGAAGCCCAGAGTCTTTGATTGGAGATGAAGAGTTCGGGGCAATGTTTTCAAAATCGTTTTATCAAAAGAACTGTTGCTGTTGTTTGTGATGAAGTTCATACTGCTGTTCATTGGTAAGTATATTAACCCTGAGTTAAACAGACAACGCATATTAAATAATTTGGGCCATTCCACTGAACAGATTAAAATTTTTGAAGCTGAAGATTTGCACAGAAGTGAAAAACTACAAAAATTATTTGTGTTGGTAGAGAGGTAGTCTGTGACAAGTATGCAAACAAATGTTAGACACATGCATTTTTTAAAATCTATCTTCTCTGCAAAAAAAATAATCTGACTGAAATCAACAATGATAATTATTTTGAATGGAAAGAGTATTTGGTGTGTGCGCAGCAGTTAGGCTGAATTACACAACTATATTGTGGTAAATTCTACGAGCAAGAAACACAGGCATAGCCATTTTCTCCATTTCCTGACCCTGCTGCCAACCTTTTCCTTGTCAGGGGTGAAAATACCAATAAAAAGAAAGATCCTTTTCGTAAGTGGTGTGGCCTTGTTGGAGAAATAAGGTCTCTTCACAAGAAGTTCCACTATTGGCCTTGACTGCAACTGCTACAACAGCCACCAGAAAGAAAATCATGGAGCTCTTTAGTTTCAGACAAGGTATTCAAATCATTGTCAGCCCAAATAGGAAGAATGTGAAATTGATTGTTAAAAAGGTAACAAGTGACATTATTCGTAATTTTTTCTTGGTAGGCTGAGGAGGTTAGCACAAAAGGGGTTGAATGTCCAAGAACTTTGATTTATGTCAGAAATTATCAGACTTGTGGAGAACTTTATAACTTTTTCATTAACACCCTACAAGATAAAGCCTACTAGCCCACAAGTTCCCTGAAAAAATCAGCAAATAGGATGATTGCAATGTATCACAGTGGAACAACATTAAAAATCCAGCAGCATGTCACATCATCTTTGAAATATCCACATGGCAGTGTTCGAACCATCACTGCAACCAGTGCTCTTGGTATGGGAGTGGATATGAAAGGTTTGCACTGGGTTATTAATTACGGTCCTCCAAACACTATTGAAGCATATGTGCAGGCATTTGGTAGAGTAGGTGGGGATGGGGCAAATTCTGAGGCATTACTTCTCTTTCATGGTCATCAACTTTGACTTTGTGAACCTGAGATGCTGGATTTTGTTAAGTGTACAACTTGTCAAAGGGAAAACGTTTTTACCTTTTTTTGATGACATTGGTGAAAACAGTGAAGTGATTTCAAAACACTTACGTTGTGACATTTGTGAAAATGACTGTCAGTGTGGAGAGACAGAATGTCATGGGAACACAGAAAGCATGACTTTCCTCATGTCCAAGGTAACAGAACCAACATCAAACCTACATGTACGAGATGTAACAGAAAGTGGGAAAGAAGAACTTAGGAGCTTGCTCAAGGAATGTCAGGAAGAAATGAGACAGGAATTTCAACAGTCAAATCTGCACTGCCTGTATTCTAGTGTTGACCAACTCACTTGTTTCTCAGACAGTCTTTTAAATGAAACAATTGATAATTGTGATAAACTTAATTCTGTGGAAAGTATTTTAGAGACACTTTCTGTATGGAATGCTGACCATGCCATCAAGATTTTTGATTGTCTCAAAAGAGTATTTGACGATCTACAATAATTATTACCAGATGAGTAGGATTTTACTTTAAGATACAGGAAAGTTTACACATGTAATTTTAGTTACGGTAGGATTATTTGTTAAAAACATTCCGAAACGAAGATAGTTACTTTAAAACATGTATTAGTCTCTCAGGAGTTTCAGAACATTCCTGTATGATGCAAGTTGTTGTTTTCTAGGCATCACATGCATATGCTTCAAAAGCATATAACTTTTTCTAACTTGACGATTCCTAAAGGAGCCATTGGTATAAAGTTGAGTAAGGTTCCCCATAGATTTGGTCTTTAAATTGCAGCAGTGGCAGCTGGGCATGTTGCACATCATTTAAATGTATCTCCTTAACCATTTCCAGCAACTGCCTCCAGCTCCCTTACTGAGTTTCCTCAGTAGTGCTGAGCACCAGGTCAAGGTCCCTTTCGTAGGTAGTTCAATCCTGGTATGGATTGACAGGTTTTCTTATGTTTTTTATCCAGATACTAAGATCCTTAAAATCTAGAGCTGAAATTGGGTCTTTGGGAAGTGTTCCTATTCCCTGGTGTGTTCTCCCTGGAATTTCCTTCAAAGCATTTACTTGTTGCAAAGTTGTAACAACCTCAAAAATGTGTTCATCCTTTCTCCTCTTGTGTTTAGAAGACTGCTTCTGCAAATCCATTTCAAGGTCAAAATTACAAATAGTTTCTTTGATAGAGTTGATGCCCTGCTATAGATTTGGGCAGAACTGAAATTTAAGTTGGCTCCATGTGCATACATAAGCTCTTTTGTTTCCTTGATATTGTGTTCCATCACTTGATCTATTGCTAGATTTCTCCCTATACCACCTTTCAGGTTAATGGTGCGATTCCATCTAAGGGAATGAGCTTCTCTGGGTGTAAGAAGTGCATTGAGCTGGGCATGCAGAGGTATGGCAGCCAAGGCATATTTTGTCTTCCCACACACTTTAAACATCAGCATGAGGAACTTCCAAATGTACTCTGTTCTTCTACCATCTCCTTCTTTTACTGAATCCTGGAAGTCTCTCAGAAGAAGTCCTGTCTTAAGAATGTTGTCTTAAGTAGTTGAATATGCCATCCTCCTTTGCTGGATTTGGTGGGCTCCTGTCTGGACTTTGCTCTTGAATTCTGATTCCATGAACATTGAATTCATGGTTATCACGCCTCTTTTCATAGATATATACTTTCTCACATGTTGGATACCTGCATTTGTACCTTGGCTGACACTGGTTATCTTGACTCTGTAATGCATCTTCTAACAGCAATTCTTCTGGCTGAACATGTAGAAGTACAAACTTGTCTACCATTTCTCCTACTTTCTCAAACAAGGAAGAGCCCTCTGGACCTGGGGCATTTTTGGAAGGAGTTCCATCTGGAGTTGTCATTCCAAAATACTCGATGGCGGCATAAACCACATACCCATCTAGTACTGTACTAAAGAATGACTTGCATCCATGATAAGATTTGTTCACCTTCTCATCAACATCTTTTCTGTTCAGTTTGCATTTAAGGTGAAACAACGTGCCTGGGTCTCCTGCACTATGTGACTTGTACATATAATCAAAAATCATCTAAAAATGACAAAAAAGTTAATTACATTCTAGAATTACATGTTTGTTACTTATGGCAAGAATTATTTCAGAATCTGTACAGCATGATAAACAAACAGCACCAAGTCTCTATAGGTTGGGTGGCAGAAATTTGATTTGCAGCAGCAAAATAGTTTTTGACTGTTTACAGATGGCTAGTTCAGAAGTGAATAGCAAGTACTATTCACTTAGCAGCTGATGAGACAAAATCTCATGTCAAGAGTTTCATTTCTGACTATTTTTCAGTATTATAGAGAAATACACCTCTTTTTTGGTATCTTTTTGGTACATACTAAACAATTTACTGGATATTTACTGAGCCCCTTCATGGCCTGGTGACTATTCACCTCCAGTTTGGTTGTTATTTTAATATGTTGCCTAATAGTAGCTCTTGCAGAAAGTAATATCTCTGCAGGTTTTTCACCAGGATTTAATAATAAAGCTGGAAAAGGTTACTGCAATAAAAACCAACCTGGAGCACATTCATTTCACAATGAAAGTCCTCATGCTTCAAGATAAGTCCTTCAAGCCATTCAAAAGGGGTGTCTAAGTCAGAAACTGCTGCAGTGGCACTAATACCACGTTCAACTGTTAAATGGTCACCACCAAATGAGACTTTGTGGAGGATCTTGTAGTGGTTATCTGTATTGGTCTCTTTGGTCTTTGGCACATATTCCATGTTACAGTGCTGTAAGATTTCAAGCATTTCATGGCTTTTGTTTTCACTCTTCTCAAGGAGGCCAAGGTGCATCTGTTGAATAATAAAAAAACTGCTTGGTAAATAAATTTAAACAGTGTATAGCAATACCAGAAAGCAATAATGAGAAATGATACCAGAACTATTTGATTGTTTCATAGTTAAAATGTAACTTTTAATATGTATTTTAACATCAAGAACATTGGAAGTCTTAAATTATTAATACTAAACAGTGAGTGATAGAAGCATGAAGTGCAGTAACTCCCTTTAATTGTTGTTGATCAACAAGTACAGTGGACTTCTGGCAGTTTTGTTGATTTCATTTATGGATGAACTTGTTTGTAACTAATATTCTTATGACTTACTACGTGAGTTTCTTTTCTCATATCCTTGCTGAATTGGTGAGGGATATGACCTGGAACAAGTCTTGAAAACTGTTTAAAGTAGTTGCAGTGTTAAACCAGAATACGCAACACCAAAATAATGTAGTCTGCACGTAGATTTGAATGTTCCTCAAGTGAGGGAAGAAAGCTTGAATTAGGTAAATCCAGGACAGGTCTTATTGGCTTACTATCATCCAAATCCCAGCAGCTAACTCTGTTCTTGTAACAGAGCACATTAAACCAATGGATAGACTCAGTGCCCACGTGTGAAGAATAGATGGATGGCCTTCTCTGCCAGTCAAGGTTGTCTCCTTTTAATCCATTATCAATGGGTAAATCACTGCTGCTGTCTGAAGTTATCTCCAGGTTTTCCATCATGACTGTTTCCCCTTCTTCTGCCTCAGATAATGATATTTCTGATGAATCACTGCAGCTATCAGTGTACTCTAGTACTGATGAAGCACTGCTAGGATCAACTAATATAATAACAAAAAAAAAATTTCCAATAAGAAAGTTGTAATGTATTCTAGATGTGACATGCTTTTCAGAGATTGTAGATAAAGTACAAGTTAGCCTAAGAAAATATATTATGGAAGTAGATAGCAACAAGTAATTTCAGTAAAGGTGACATGCAGTGGGGTATCAATGAGAGAGTAGAATTTCCCTATTTGTGTCACAGTTAGTGTAACTGGGAAGGGGCATCTAATTTTTAATATGTAATGTTCAAGTCTCATCTGCATCAGTGACATTGTTTGAAGTAATGTTATGATGTGTGTCTTAGAACATCATTAACATTTCTTTCTACTCACCACTGAAATAAACTTGATCTTGAGGGCCATTCATTGTCATTCTGTTCATAAGGAATAGTTAAATGAGTCTGACAAACAGCTGAACCCTGCAGGAAGGACATATACCATTACTTTTTACACTCATTTTATTTTCAACTGATTCACAAATAACTTTAGGATTAAGAGTCAAAAGAAATGGATGTTAAACCTTGGTTGAAACTTCTAACCTGAAAACATTGTTCATTGATGAATAACATGGATTACAAAGTAAATGTCCCATGACACTTGAAAGAACTAGATCTTGCAAAATGGTCCCAAAGAGACAGTGACTAAATCACATGCAGGTGTAAATTTATTAACAAAAAAAAAAGAACAACAACAACTTGAGTATGTGCACCTGCTGTTGATCGCTAAATAAGGACGTTGTGCAGAAAAGAGGAATTATTGGCACTATGAGCATTACTCAATTTTTTTGCCATAAAATTCTTAATTGTTCAAGCATGATTATGAACTCTTCAACTTCTTTGAGTTTATTCAAGCAATTTAAATAAAAGGGACTATTTTGCAAAACCTTGATTCAGAAATATGTTTTCTCTATTAATTTTAATCAAAATACTGGTAAGAAAAATTCATGTACATAGCAATCAAATAGTATTATTTATTAAAAAGGTATTTAATTATAATCTAGTTAAAACTGTACCTGTTGTTGATTTTGAGATGAAATTGAGGACTCTGAGGTTGGTGTGTT